TTTGTCCTTAGAGCAAAGTTCAACCTTTTGGTTAAAATTTGGCCTTATTATTATAAACTCTTGTTATTGTTATTATGGTCTCTTACGGGATTTAGTCATAACTCCCAGTGTGGTCAGTTTTTACCCAAATAATTAAACATTTTTTATAAATGATTATATATTTATTCCATAACTATGCATTTATATAATTCACTATTATATTATATAAAGGATAAATCACTAAGAATTATTGTAAGTATAAATTATTGGTAGCATTAGCAAAAATATCATTGTGTCTGGACTGGTTAATTTTTAAATTCTATGTTCTATTACAGTAATGAGAACTTTTTTTAATTGTAATAATGCAAAAATTCATAATGGCTCTAATAATACTTTTCCTTTTCTTTATGTGAATAAATCATCAGGGTCTGTGTGATGTCGTACCTTTGGGGTCCAGCAGAGGTTTTGTGCACTTGCAGAGTGTCCAGCTCCTGTATGCTGCCCCGGCTCACAGATACGGTGGAGTTGGCGAGGCGGATGGCTCTTCTCTTACCCCTGCGGGGGCAGCAGGACGTCGACACCCCCTGCTGGCTGGAGATGGAAGTGCTGCGGCTCGTGCGATAGCCCACCGACTCAGTCATACACATCTCACTGAACGTCAACTCGTCTGTGAACTCATGGTTCTGTTGGAAATACAGGAGGAAATGCTTCATTTAGGATATTTTGAACAAGAAATATGTCATAATTTGTGTCCAGTAACAGACTGAGCTGTAATTACTGTTGTCTTTTCCAGACAATGCAGCAGGTGATGGTGTTGGTGCTCAAAGGAAGATCTGTTCTTCAGACACAGAGCATTGTCACTGTCTCGATCCTGAGAGATAAAAACACCACAAGAGTTTATTTAGGACGATCCATAAAAACCATGTCTTTAGATAACAGCAACTCACCTTAAAACATCAATCTAAAGTGGACACAAATCTATTTAAAGAGACCACAACTATTTACAGCCTTCAGAGGATGTTAACATCAGCATGACTTCAGGGTTATTTTTGTTAAAGAACAAAAGTTCACTGTCATCTCCAATGTAGAATGGCTAGATAGGTTTTATTTATTTATATATATATATATATATATATATATATATATAAAAGCATATAGCATATATTGTGGAATTAATCAATAGCAATATTTCTGTAGGTTATATATATATATGACTATTAATCGAATATATATTAATCGAT